CAAGCAAACCCCATTTATATTCAGTATTTCAACAACCATAGTAATTGTTATATAACACCTACCGCTGAGAATCAAACAAACTATTTTCAATTTGATCAATTTTCTGGAATGTTTACAATCATTCTATAATTGAACCAATATGCAATAACAAATTTGAATTTAAAACGTTTCAAACATTTGGTTAAAAAATCAAAATATATAAAAATATTTATAACAATGTCTGAAATGTTATCAATTTAATACACCTAAGTACTCAATGAAAACTAAATGTAGTTAAAAACAAAAAATTGCATCTAAAATAGTACAGTAGAAGCCGTTCTTCAGGTTAAGCCTTAATCCTTTCTCTCTCCCCTCCATGGGAATTTCGAAAAAACCTTTCTTAGTGTATATTTTCATGACATACCCTAACTGTGTACAAAATTTCACATCTTTAAGTTCAGTGGTTTGCTCTGGGCGATGATGAATCAGTCAGTCAGTCAGTTAGGACAATTAATTTTATATATTTAGATTACTGTAGTTGAACAGAAATTCAGGATTTATATTTAAATTTTAAGTGGAAACAGTGTTTATAAAAGTATTCATTTTATACATTTACTTTGTCTCAAAAATTTGTAATGAGCATAAAAATGATGTGTAATTGATATAAAACAACATTGTATAACAAAAGAAATAAGTCTTATGGAACTAAATATCGTGGAGCAATGTTTTATACAAAAATGTCTTGCATTTAACCTGTAGTACCTCATTATTAATGTCCCTGTTAGCATAGGTAAGTCCTTATGGTGATGTAATGGTTGTCTCCTTTTTCATCTCCCAGTGTCTCATATTTTATCTTTTGAAAGAAAAATATGAGACAGGAAAAAATTTTTTGCTCAACATTTCTCATACATACAGAAAAAATGAATACTCCATTAGATTTTAACACTATCTGTAGACCTTGTCATGTATTTCTCTTTGTAAAATACTGATCTTAACAAATGCTGTTACGAAAGTTTTGAAAAGTGTCTCATATTTACCCACATTGACCCTATTTTAATTATTCTTTATTTATTTGAAATGTCTTCAAGTGCTTTTATATATCTGATTAAACTCATTATAAGTTAAATTTATTTTTCTGTTGGCAGTCTTTCTAAAACTGTGATTGACTTATATGAAAAGTAACAGATTACAAATTATAGTGCACTTTTGCTAATCCAAATTACTGATAATTTATATAGAGGATAATTTAGATTAATGGGGTTATATATAGAGAAAAGATATTGTTATATTGATTTGTGTTTCTGTGTGTATATATATTTATATGTTAAAATGTATAATGCATATTAATTTTACAAAAAACTTGTTTTTAAAAATATAATCTAAGAATTTTTTGTTTTAGCTCAAACATTTAGTGAAAAATACAGGGTCTGGAGTTGCGTAAAAATCTACCGACTCCGACTAAAACACCAAAACTCCATGACTCCGACTCCGACTCAACAGCCCTGCCAGGGCTGTGGAAGTCGCGTAAAAATCTACCGACTCCAACTTTCACTTTTCCTTACCATCCGACTCACAATGCATGCNAATTAAAAAATTAAAATTATTTAATTTAAAAGTATAAAATAAAATTATATTTTATTTTACACTTTTAAATTGTACACAACTACAGAACAATTTTCAATGATGAATATTTAATCATATCTACTTACGTCAATTAAAAAATTTCATGTGAAAATGTTAAGAAAATAGGCTGTATAAAAAATCAGTTTTTAAAAATTATACATCTTGGAACTAAATATCGTGGAGCAATGTTTTATACAAAAATGTCTTGCATTTAACCTGTAGTACCTCATTATTAATGTCCCTGTTAGCATAGGTAAGTCCTTATGGTGATGTAATGGTTGTCTCCTTTTTCATCTCCCAGTGTCTCATATTTTATCTTTTGAAAGAAAAATATGAGACAGGAAAAAATTTTTTGCTCAACATTTCTCATACATACAGAAAAAATGAATACTCCATTAGATTTTAACACTATCTGTAGACCTTGTCATGTATTTCTCTTTGTAAAATACTGATCTTAACAAATGCTGTTACGAAAGTTTTGAAAAGTGTCTCATATTTACCCACATTGACCCTATTTTAATTATTCCTTATTTATTTGAAATGTCTTCAAGTGCTTTTATATATCTGATTAAACTCATTATAAGTTAAATTTATTTTTCTGTTGGCAGTCTTTCTAAAACTGTGATTGACTTATATGAAAAGTAACAGATTACAAATTATAGTGCACTTTTGCTAATCCAAATTACTGATAATTTATATAGAGGATAATTTAGATTAATGGGGTTATATATAGAGAAAAGATATTGTTATATTGATTTGTGTTTCTGTGTGTATATATATTTATATGTTAAAATGTATAATGCATATTAATTTTACAAAAAACTTGTTTTTAAAAATATAATCTAAGAATTTTTTGTTTTAGCTCAAACATTTAGTGAAAAATACAGGGTCTGGAGTTGCGTAAAAATCTACCGACTCCGACTAAAACACCAAAACTCCATGACTCCGACTCCGACTCAACAGCCCTGCCAGGGCTGTGGAAGTCGCGTAAAAATCTACCGACTCCGACTCCACAGCCCTGGAAAAATATGAACAGAATTTGTTCAGATTAAGTAAAATTTGGATTTGAGTACATTCAGATTAGTAAGAATGCACTATATTACAATTATAAAGAAAATTTTTAATGAAAAGATTAATAAATATCTGAGATTTAAATTCCATAAAGAAACTTGGATATATCAGAATAACCTTAAATCTTAAAAAGAACTATTAATTAGATATCTGATAACTTTTATGAGTAAATATATAAAAGCAAAATAACTGTAAAAAAACAAAATAAAAACTAAGATATAATTTATTTAATTTAATTAAATTTTTAATAAATATACTGAATATTGAATAGTGATTAAATATTCATTGTATCCTTATTATTAAATTAGCTACTCAGTTAATATTGTTCATTTTATAAACATTATTGAAACTTTCTAACTATATTCATATGTTTAATTGAATATAGTTAAGAATAGAAACTATATCAACCTTGAATTGTCCCAAAAATTTGAATAATCATTGAAATGGTTTTTATTGTAGATGTCATTGACAATTAAACAGCTTAAGTATGATGAAAATCATTTCAATGATTCATCATGAATTTGCAATATACAGTACTTAAGCTCTTTAATTGTTGTAGTGAACTAAAACCATATATTTTATGTATTAAGAATAAAATTTTACTGTAAATTCTGTTTTGTTAATAAAATACTCTAAAAAATGTTTAATTATTAAAAAAAGTGTTGGAATCTTATTTTAACTTTGTAAAAAATTATCAAATACTAGCTGTTACCCACGACTTTGCCCGTGGGGGTTTCTTAAGCAAACCCCATTTATATTCAGTATTTCAACAACCATAGTAATTGTTATATAACACCTACCGCTGAGAATCAAACAAACTATTTTCAATTTAATCAATTTTCTGGAATGTTTACAATCATTCTATAATTGAACCAATATGCAATAACAAATTTGAATTTAAAACGTTTCAAACATTTGGTTAAAAAATCAAAATATATAAAAATATTTATAACAATGTCTGAAATGTTATCAATTTAATACACCTAAGTACTCAATGAAAACTAAATGTAGTTAAAAACAAAAAATTGCATCTAAAATAGTACAGTAGAAGCCGTTCTTCAGGTTAAGCCTTAATCCTTTCTCTCTCCCCTCCATGGGAATTTCGAAAAAACCTTTCTTAGTGTATATTTTCATGACATACCCTAACTGTGTACAAAATTTCACATCTTTAAGTTCAGTGGTTTGCTCTGGGCGATGATGAATCAGTCAGTCAGTCAGTTAGGACAATTAATTTTATATATTTAGATTACTGTAGTTGAACAGAAATTCAGGATTTATATTTAAATTTTAAGTGGAAACAGTGTTTATAAAAGTATTCATTTTATACATTTACTTTGTCTCAAAAATTTGTAATGAGCATAAAAATGATGTGTAATTGATATAAAACAACATTGTATAACAAAAGAAATAAGTCTTATTTGATTCCAAATGATAAAATTTTTATGATTTTATACTTTAAATAAATAAAGAAATCATATTTAGTTAATATACTAAATATTTAACTTATTGTAATATTTTTGAATTTGTATTGTTTTTAGTAAGTTTAAATTAAAAGTTATATACATTATTATCATTTTTTTAAATATTATACTGTAAGAAATTAATTAATTTAATTTCCTTTTTTTTAGAATATGGTGGATGAATCAGATGAAGAATATGCCTGTTCAGTTGATAAACAATATAGGATTCATTATAAATCTCGCAAGAAATATGTTTGCATTTTAAGATCTTTACAAATTAGTATTGGTGTTGTCACAATGATAATTGGTATTGTTAGTGCAACTGGTTTAAAAGAATCAATGGGTTTATTCCTTTTCATTGCTATTTTGTGTGGATTTTTTATGATGGAAGCAGCTTTGGCTAATCTTTTTATTTTATCAGAGCACTCTGGAGAAAACTTTCAAGGCTGGCAAGAAGGAATTAGAAAAGCTGGTAGAGAAGGTGCATTATGTATTCTTGCTTCATGGGCTTGTGGAATTATCTTCACAATAGCAATGGTGATATCTGATGTTATAGTTTTAATTATGTTCCATGATACTTCAGTCACAATCATAGCATATCTAGAATTAATATGTGGAATATTTTTACTTATCATCATCACTGTATCAATTTGGGATAGTATAACATTTCGAAAAGTTCATGTTAATGTTTGTTGATATTCCAGAAAATTTGATAAAATAATGATAAATTTTAAAGTAACAGTTACTATTGTTTCATGAAATTAATTTAGAAAACACAAAAAAATATATATATACATAGGCATATCATAAAATAGAATATTTGAACATTATTAAATGTAAAATACATCTATTTTTGTTATATGTAAATTTATAAAGTGTTTTACAATAATTCTTGTATTTAAACTAAAAATACTTGATCTCAGGTTTTTTTATTTTAATGTAATCATCTATAACTTAATGTTTATGTTAATTTAATTCTAATTTATTTGAAATCACTTAATATTTTACATAAATTAATTTCATTTTATTTAAAAATCATTCCATAAATAATTTCTAAGATGTTGAATAACACAAATATTATGCAATATTTTTGCCAATTATTGTATATTAATTTCTCATATTTCATTTTTTTCCTCTGTCGATACTTTTACTATATAATGCAGTATGCAAAATATTTTATATAAATATAAATTTTGTGCCATATCTTATACAAATAGTTTTTCATATCTGGTTTAAGTTACACGAGTTTTAGTAATTTAACTCTAAGCTAATTACGAGTATATATTTCAAACTATAATTTGGATGATAATTAAGAAGCTCATAATTGTTCAAATATTGCACTTAGTTTTAAAATTTCTAAAAGAAGATTTTGTTTCACATGTTTTTAATGTCTCTAGACTAATTGAAATTAATGTTATGTCAGTATTAATTTTCTTATAGTGTTAATTTTCTGATTATTTTAAATGTTTAGTTAATTGTTTATGGAAAAAGTCATAAATAATTATTAAGTTATCTAAAAAATACTCATATATTTAAGTATATTTATTTTAAAATAATCGTATAATAGTTTATTTAAAATTATTTAAAGACTCAGTATTATTTTACTCATTAACTTTAACATAGCTAAGTATAACATAGCTTGCAGCAATGTTCTTAAACTATTTTGAATTTTTTTTTTTTAATCATCTGGTATAGATATCAGTGTAACAAGTAAATATAAACAAGTAAAAATTTAACTGCTTCATTAATAAATTCATAAAGAGAAAGTACATTTTTTTGGATAATGTATTTTTCATGCATCCATATGTCTCTCATGTATTGATTTCTATCACAGATTTTTTTATAAAACGATATTAATTTGATATTTGTTTAAAAATATATATACATAAGGGTGTTCCAAAAGTCAGGAGCTATAGGCAAAAAATGTATTTTAAAGTTTTATTAAAGTAAATGGTCAAATTGATGGCTTTAAACTTTGTGACACTTATATATACTCTGAATACAAGGACATTGAACATTTCTTAACATTTTTGATTTTGTTACATGCAGAGATGATTTCCTTTAGTACAAAAATTGTTCCAGGTCTGTTTTGATAGAATTTTGATTTCAGAAAAAAGTCAAGTGATGTTAGGTCTGGACATTTAGGAGGCCTTCTATTGGTAGTTTTGAAGGCATCTTGGATCTGAAATTTAAAAAATTTCAATTTTCTCATAAGGAAAAATGCCTGTGGATCCAATCTTTTGGGATAACATGTATATAATAATAGTGGAAGATATTTATTACATCTTGTCCCATTATTTGGATATTTTATTTACTAATTTTCAGTTCAACAATTTAGATCTCAGTTTCATATTAAATATCCTATTTTATTTTGATGTCTTAAAAAGTATTGCAGTTCTCCAATATTGAGTTGTTTAATATATAAAATAATTTTCTGTCATAAAAAGTATTGAAATCTTGATCTGTTTGTATATTTAATGAAATAATAAGATAGTAAAGTTGATGATCTGTAGAATATTGTTGTTTAAATGTTATGCTATTATAAGATAAATTAGATTTTACTAAATAATTTATATTCATTGTTGTACATAAAATATATTTATAAAAAAAATAGTAGTAATAAAATTTTTTAAAAATTTATATTAGTACAGTAAATGAAAATGTCTTCCATTAACTTATTAGAATATTTAAATTAAAGTTTTGTAATACTTCAAAAGAAATTTATTTATTTTTTAATTATTACAATATAGACTTATTAAAAAATCATTCAGAATTTTTAAATTATTATCAATCACTATTCTATAAGAATAATCTATAAATTTCATCAATAAATTGTAAGTTTCTGTTTCAAATAGTAATCCTTAATAAATAAATAATTAAGGATAACTATTTGAAACAGAAAATGATTCCGTAATTTTTATTATTGGAAACATTTTCAAGTCATCTCTGTTGAGATATATATGAAGGACATGGAGGATGTGTCTTCCATTTTGACTTTAAAAATATCCTCTCTCTCTCTTCAAACACTGTAACATTCTTCTTTTCAGAACAGTTTGTCCTCCATTCATAATTATTTATCTGATAATCTTATCTTAGTTTATAAATTGATTTTATTTCAATTGGAAGCTGCTGTTCTATTCTAATTTTGTTTTAAAACTAGCATGATGTGATGTATGCATGCATATCATTTAGAATAATTTATGAATCCATTGTTTAATTTATAGAATGTATAAACATGAAGATCATTACTTAAAAATTATTGGAAATGTTTGTTTATAGAATAAAGTACTTGCTCTTAATATTAGTTTTGATTTCTTAATGTTATCAATTTTGAGAGAAGTTGAAGGTAAAAATAGCTGATGATGAACTGGAATGATGATATGAGAATGTTTCTGATGATAAAGAATATGAACTTCTATGTTTGAATCTGTTGTTTTTTGGTATGATTGGATAAATAGAAATAATTATAAATCAGAAGTAAATGTATAACTCACTATAAAGACTCATAATTCATAAATGAAGAAATTATGATTTACTTTGAAAAACTTTAATAGATCCTTTTTATAAGATTCAAGCAAACACAGGAATTAAATTTGCTTCATGTTAAATGTATGTTTTGCAAATTTCATAATACTGAGTAATGAACTACATTAAACATTTTGTATTTAAACATTAATATAAAATTTATAAATAATTATAAGAGGAAGAAAGATAAACAGCAATTTTTAAAATGATAGTAAAATTTTAATTTATTTTATTAACAACCAAAAATATATTATTCCATTAAAAGGGATAACTATAAAGTAATAAATAGAAGTAACTGTAATGATGTAATTTAGTTTATGAATTTTATAAAATATCAAACTAGACTTTTGTAATGTTATAGTTACTGATTTAAACTTAGAAAAATAATAAAATTTAATCAATTTTATTATATTGCACTAGTAAATTTTTATGTAAATAGTTTTGAGGTTTCAAATTGGAACACTTTATATATAGAGAGATTCATTCTACAATGTTTTTTTACACTCTGGTAATACTAATCTTATCAATAAATTCATTATCATTACAATTATTTTACAAGAATTTTTTCTTTAACATTATACTATGAAACTTAACAAAATATTGACTTTTAGTTAATAATTTACATGAAATCTGTGTAAATGAAGTATTTATTTGCTTACTTATAAAGATGATAAATAATTCTGTATATGACTATCATCAATCTTCATTTGATAATCAATTATTGAATATCCATTTTACATGAGAATCTCTTTATTAAAATTCACAAGTTCAGAAGAAACACTAAAATTAGACTAAAAGTATCTTCATGGTATGTTCTTTTTCACACCTTGGAATTGAATAATGTATCTGTAGTCTAAGGAGAGCTACAGCAGAGTTGATCTTTAAACTGAGCTTTTTTTTCTGTTTCAATATGCAAGTAGTGATAAAAATTCCTTTGATGATTGTACTATAGTGGAGTCAAAATAAAGGTTAATTCCACTTTAGTCCTCAGACTACATTATTCAGTCTTGAAGTGTGAAAGGGAACAAGCTGCAAAGACACTTACTTTAATTGGGCTACAATTTTTTTCAAATTGTACACCTATAAATTTCCATTGTTATCCATTTGTGTGTCTGTCTGTCTGTCATTTCGTAATCTCAAGAACAATGTTAGATAGATGAAAGTCAAGACCAGATATGGAAAACTTAGAAGCAGGAGGCCCCAATTAACTATGTATAAACATCTGGTCTAGACTGGAAGTCACATGATTTCAATTCAAAAATTTTCCCTGAATGGAGTTACACAGATGACTGGCATGACACTGTTGTTATCAGAAAAAGTATGATGTACAGTACAAGGGCAAGACACTAGTAATTTGAGATTGAGAACATATATTTTAAATTAAATAAATTAAGAATATGATTAAAAATTGAAACCCAACATTGTGATGATGTTACAATAATTTTTGTTTGTTTTAATGTTAATTCTGAATTTGTGAATTTTAATTACAGTATGATAATCCTGGAGTTTATCATCTGTATCATAATCCTGGAGTTTAAATTAATATTGCTTTTATATTAAAATTTATAAAGGTAACAATTACTTTCTTGAAACATGAACATATGACTCATGAAATATGTAATATATTGTTCTGCGTACAGTTAAAAGAAATACACTTTTTATTAAGAAAAGTTAATATTCTTTTCATTTTGTTTAATAATATATTAAAACTGTTAATGAATTTCAATTAAAGAAATTAAATGAAAAATAATATGATTAATAATAATAGAATTTTCTGATAAATTGATGAAATATTTATTACGTCTTAAAAAAGTAATCAAATGCATTAAAATTGAATTTTTATAATTAAAAGATTTTGTATTAAAACTGCTTTTATTTTAAATGATGATGATTATTCTCATTTATACATTTCAATTTATGTAATAACAGATGTTAATATCTTCAATACTCAATATAATTTTTTAAATTTATTATAAATGTCAATTTATTTTAAACAGTATATTCATATTTTAAAGTTTTCTGCTTTTTAAGTATGTCTGGATTCTTGAGGATTAATTAAAAACTAGGATATTTGAAAATTGGTTTATAACTAATGTAGTTCAATGTTGAGTTTTAGAATTAGTATCATATTTAATCCATTGAAATTGGTGAGATATATTAGTTGTTTAAAATTATAAATTTCTCAATATACTATGCAAAAGACATAAAAATTACCTAGAATGTATTTCTTTATTTTATATAAAAATTTTTGCAAAATCTATTTTACTTGAT